TATGCCATGGTTCTCAATATAATAATGAACTGTTCGCTACGACCTCCATGGTTCAATACGCGTTTGTGAACCGCGTTTTTTTTCGGTTTTGCGTTTAAATAATTTATGTGCGTTTTATATCTCCCCGAATTGACTTTGTGTGCCTGTAAGTCCATGAGCTGAGATGAGGAAACTCCTCCCCGCGAGTAAATATCCAATCACTATGCTCTAAAGTTAGGGGGCGCTTAACCATCATTCCACACTTTAACATGGCAAGCGGCGGTGGAGTGAGGCTGAGGCAACAGTACGAGGAAGCGCCGGTGTTTAAATCTGCGGTGTGAGGACATTTCGGTTTTGCCGGTAAGTATAATGCCAATAAAAGAAAAAACGGTGAACAAAAAATAACTGTGTGCAAGCATTGTTTTAACCATGACTGCACATTTGCAGACCAATCACCCAGCAATATCACTGTCTGAAGGCAGGATAGCAGAGAAGGTAGTAAAGTCCTCCAAATAGCAACAATTCCTCGCTGAATGTTTTAAGCAAACATACCCAACTGGTTCCCAAAGACACATAAAAATAACAAAGGCATTGCGGGTGTTTATTGCTAAAGATTTGCAGCCGTTTTCAGTGATTGGATATGTGTGCTTTTGTCATCTTATAAAAGCACTCGATCCGCGTTACAGACTACAGTCTCGCATTTTTTTTTAGCTCCGAGATAATTAAGATGGTTTATTTATGCTTACTCAAGCACAAATATGTCTATTTGAAATGGCCAATTTATCTTTATTTACTTCACATGTATGTTTATTTTCAAAGTGTAGGATTTTATGTGTTCCACCGGTTTGTACATGGGCTACCAGCAGCTGTGAGATAAGCCATGACAACCAAATCAAACCGAAAACTGTGTTAAAAAACCAAGGTATGTCTTGCAACTGTGTCTTGATACTGTATCATTGCAACAATACTCATTGCACTGTGTACTGTGCTGCAGAAATAGTACATTATGTTAATATGCTATTCCCAAGAAACAGACAGCATAAAAGGAGAGATGCAGCGGAAGTAGAGGAGAAAAACGGAAAGAGAGAGAGAGAGACAGAGAGTGAGGGAAATAGGTCATGGATTCAGGGGGGTTAGATGAGGGTCTGGTCAGGGTGTATATTTAGCGAGACCTTCCTCCATCACTGACATGGCTGAGCCTGAGGGATCTCACAGATTTGAGTTTGAAAGTGTGACTGAGGGCTGACATGCCATTTTTTGACAGTCTTCATCCTAAGGGAACTTCCTCGATTGCTTGTCTCCATGGGAAAAAGACAGGAATACATCTAGGAGATCTGTGTCACCAATGCATTCTCAGACAGATCCAAAGTGATTGTCACAGAATTGTGAGCATGTTTGGTGGTTTAACATGCAGGCTTGTCATAATAGTGCCATTCAATGCTATGGAATGAGTCCTCTGCACTCTTGACCTAATTATCAAGCATGCACCACGTGGTAGTCGACACAGATCATCCCATTTCTTGGACTAGTTGCTAAAGAAATGCTGACTGTACAGTTTGCTTTTTCCTTCTGCTTTCATGGTTCACTCGCTCAGATTCACTCGTAGACTTGAAAACAGTTTCAACATGAAAGAAAATTGCAGCAAAGCACTACGAAACTTCACTTCGAGACAATTTAGCTTTAATCGGTTACTTCCGCAGTTACACTCGAGCACATGCTCATTAAAGAGCAAAAAGGAAAGCGAAGTCAAAAAATGTGTCATCTATTTTCAGAGCTAAGCCCTCCAGTAGCTTCGTTCTGCTCCTCTTTCCTCAATGAGAAAAAGGTCTCGCTATTTTCTAAATGAGGACACAGCCTTTGCTGAGGTACAGCAAACTGCAAGACATCTGCACCAACAGCAATTTTGTATATTTATATAAAAAAAAGAAATGCACCCTGCAACCTTTAAAGTAACTTCACCTTCACAGCCATAGCTAAAGTCAACATGAAATACTCATCCTTCACTCTTTCAAATATGTCCTAGTTTTCAAAAGGTATCATTTCCCATGCTTTGTTATGTTGAAATTAATATAATAACAAGATGACTCAGATTGTAGTAGACTGGTCACACCTAGAAACATTTAAAGCTGATGTGAGGTCAGTCCATCTTAAGTGGTCTAAAAATTGATATGGTTTAAAATTTTCTCTCTGTCTCTCTCTCTTGCTGTTTTCTCTCTTTCTTTCTTTCTTGCTAAATTTGCTATTCATACATGTGAGAAACACAGAACAAAATCATGTCAAAGAGATTGTTTTTAATATTAATAAATTCAAAAGTGTTGATAAAGATGTTGATGTTGCTTTTGAATTTGATAAAAGAATTTGAAGATCTAATCACTTTTAAAATGATTTGATGTTGTCAAGAAACTTTGTGCTGTTTTTGATGGGAATCTGTTTTTCTTTATGATGCTATTTTATAATGTTAATTACAGTGGCCGAGAGAGCTTAACATGCTGCTATTTAATTACGAGAAATGCTAGCAAATTAAAAAAAGATCTTCATCTGTTGACAGCACATGTGTTGCAAACAAATCAATAAAACACAAACAAATCAGTAAAACACGCTGCAACACAACACAAACAATTTACAAAACTGCACTGCAAATTCTCACAACACTTTCAAATAGCACGGAACACAATGGAAATGTTTCAAGGGGACATTAAAATGTGACAGACCCAGCTATTTAGATTATGGTTATTTAGGTTAATAAAATACAAAAGACAAGGATGTTAATCAGGATGTTAAAATAAAAAAATTTAAAAAAAATAAATAAATAAAAATCACCATTCAACAATCGCCTACGACTTCAAAACAATAAGGCTGCATCTGAAATCCCATATGTCCATACTATATAGTATGCTAAAATCAGTATGCGACCTGAGTGGTATGTCTGAATTCATAGAATTCAAAAGTAAGTATGTGAGAAAAGACCCTTTTCACATTTCCACGTTTCTCAGTAACATCATAGTTGGGAAAATTTAAAGAGCAGCGAATGGGAGAGTACAACAAATTGGCCGTTTTCCTATATGTACATATACGTTTATATAGGTTCTTTCCGTGTGGGAATAAAAGAAAAACTCCCTGATGAGGTTATAAAGACTTTCAGAAAAAAGGGGAAAAAATCGTGTGAGACTGATGACGGCAGCCAGAGGAGAGAATAAGGTCAAATATTCTGTCCTGCCCCATAGACGCTGTGTTAGAAATGCCTTGCACAAGTGGCAATTTGTTTTTTTTTATAATTTGAAGCAAAGATGATATAAAACATTTGAATACATATAACTCTTTATACATTTTTTTAAAATCTAATCTAAATATCAACCTAATCTAAATATTAATCTAAATATTACTTTCAAGGATTTAAGATGCTGATGACTGTTAAACATGTCATAACAGGCTCGTGAAAAGAAGCCAGTACCCGGATAACCTACTACTTCCTGCAAGATTCAGAAGTGCACATTGGATGGATGCTACGCTATCCCATAATGGCCCGCTAGAGAATTCATGAAAAGGAGTGAAGCGACGCTACTCATGTGAGTGTGTCACATGATCATGACAAAATGGCAGGTGTAGTATGCTCGAGTTCTATTCATACTGCACGTACATACTGTATACAACTTACTTTTTTTAACGGCCGAGTAGTACATTTAAATACAGTAATTACTACTGAGTAGTAGGCGGTTTCAGACGCAGTCATAGTCTTGGGTTTTTGGGTGTTATGAGAAAATTCAGCGTGCTTTCGTAACTTGTTCACCTTATGAAAAAATGCAGCACGTTTTTTAAATTTGTTTGCATTGTAAGAATTTGGGGCGACGCAGTAGGTAGTGCTGTCGCCTCATACTGTAGCAATAAGGTTGCTGGTTTGAGCCTTGGCTGGGTCAGTTGGCGTTTATGTGTGGAATTTGCATGTTCTCCCTGCATTCACGTGGGTTTCCTCCGGGTGCTCCAGTATCCCCCACAGTAAAAACATGCAGTACAGGTAAATTGGGTTGGGTAAATTGTCCATAGGATATGGGCTTGAATGAGTGTGTATGGATTTTTCCCAGAGATGGGTTGCAGCTGGAAGGGCATCCGCTGTGTAGAATGTGTGCTGGATAAGTTGGTGGTTCATTATACTGTGGCAAACCCCAATTAATAAAGGGACTAAGCCGAGAATAAAATGAATGAATAAATAATTGTAAGGATTTGCAGCACTTGTGCTGTCCAATGGATGAAGATCTTTTCTCAATTTGCTGGCGTTTTTTTCTACTTGCATGTGTTTTCTTAAATTGCAGCATGTCAAGCTTTCTCGGCTACCATAGTTAATGTATGTATAGTCATGAAGTTAATTGTTAATAAAGTTTTTTTTTTATAAATTATTTCTCTCTTTCACCAGAATAAGTTCTTAACCAAACTCAGCATGCATAAATATATGTTTCATTCAAAAGAAAATTAAATAACCCAACGCGAGACAGATCTGAGTCAAACATATATTTTCAAACGAAATTGCGTTCAAAACTTAGCACTACACAAGTGCATCATACTAAAGTGCTGGAATTTCAAACCCCAATCATTGCATCCTACCACTTTTCAGGTCTTATTGGGTTAATTTGGCAAAGCCATATGAATGCACTGTGGACCAGTGAAAATAAACAATATCCCACTTTTCATTATTTAATTAAATGCAAAAGATAACAATCAAACCACGGCTTTCAACAGTTACTGAAAATTTACTTTGATTCTGTCACATTGTAAAATCTCATTTAACTTTTTTGACATTTATTTTTTTTTAGACTGAATGGATGATCAGGTTTTCAATGAGGTTGAAACCCTTTTATGTAAAACTTATATAGCTTTCATCTATTTTTCACAAAACAGATTTTACATTCGACTACACCTGTTCAAAAATAGCCTTTTTTATTAGTTGAAATAAAAAAAGCAGTAGTATCTCAAACTTTGTCATCATCACGCCATCTGCACTTGTCATGTTAAGGACTTTTAAAACTTACGTTACATCTCCAGCGTAGTGTCGGATACGAAAATCTCGATTGAACTCCATAGTCTTGTCAGCGGGACAGAGCTAACAAGAAAAAAGTAAACTTCAGTGGTCAAAACATCAACGTGGACTCCATGTGTTTGTAATTACATGAATATAACGTGTAAGAGCACTGCCACCTTCTGACCCTGCAGCCACAATGCAGAAGTGTGCAGTTCAACTAAGGCAACTACTGTACAAGTATGGTCAAAAGAGGGAAGCCGTTTTGCTTCACAATTTAGGACAGGCCTACAAACAAATGTTGATAAGATGTGACTAGAGGAGTGCTGAGGCAGGACTTTACTTCAAAAAGTAATTAATTACTAATTACATCAATAAAATCAAAAGTAACTTAATTTTTTATTAAAACATTTAATTACTTGACTTAATACTACTTACTACATGAATATAAATCTCAATGCATAGAATTTAAATTAATTTGAATTCTTTTAATTTAAGACATTTTGACATTTTAGTTAGATTTTTTTTAAAAAAAATACAAAATAATGTAAATAATATAATTTGAAATGACAAATTTCCTTCTTCATTGATAGTTAATCATGTGTAATTGTGCATATTTAGCATTATTAATAACAAAAAAATGCAAAATGATGTGAGTGGGCTTAACAAACCACCTGTAGAAACCCTCTTCTCTCATTTGCACCTGACACTTTATCTAAACTCCAACTTACAAAAACTCAATTAGAAAAACGATGTTCACTATAAATGTACCACGTCATGTTGCACTGCTTGCTTCCATCTTGAATAACTCTTTTTTTCACAATATTAAACCTTTAATATTAACCCTCTCTTGCACAATATCTTGCACAACATTGCTCAGTCTTATCTGTATAGTTAAGTATCTTATAGAATATAGCAGTTATGCATAGTTTCTTTTAAATAGCTGTTACGTCCAGAGTTGTGTTTGTATTTATGCATAATTTATGTAGCAATGTTGTCCTGCGAGACACAACATTTCGTTCATCTGTATGTCCAAACATGTAGCGGAATGACAATAAAGCTCAACTTGACTTAAAAATATAAAATATATATCTCAATATGTCTATTTTTATTTAAAGCTTGTGTAGTCAACTTGATCAATGTTATCTTATTTAGCTATACTTGTTTTAGCTATAGCTTACACTCACCGGTCACTTTATTAGGTACACCTCACTAGTACCGGGTTGGACCCCCTTTTGCCTTCAGAACTGCATTAATCCTTCATGGCATATATTCAACAAAGTACTGGAAATATTCCTCAGAGATTTTGCTCCAAATTGACATGATAGCATCAAGCAGTTGCTGCAGATTTGTCAGCTGCACATCCATGAAGTGAATCTCCCGTTCCACTACATCCCAAAGGTGCTCTATTGGATTGAGTTATGGTGACTGTGGATGCCATTTGAGTACAGTGAAGTCATTGTCATGTTCAAGAAACCAGTCTGAGATGATTCGCACTTTATGACATGGCACGTTATCCAGCTGGAAGTAGCCATCAGAAGATGGGTACACTGTGGTCATCAAGGCATGGACATGGTCAACAACAATGCTCAAGGCATTGACAAGATGCTCAATTGGTACTAATCCCCAACACAATTACACCACCACCAGCAGCCTGAACTGTTGATGCATAGCAAGATGGATTCATGCTTTCATGTTGTTGACGCCAAATTTTTACCCTATAATCCAAATGTTGCAGCAGAAATCGAGACTCATCCGACTAGGCGAGGTTTTTCCAATCTTCTATTGTCCAATTTTGGTGAGCCTGTTGTGAATTGTAGCCTCAGTTTCCTGTTTTGACCTCTGGCATCAACAAGGTGTTTGCGGCCACAGAACTGCCACTCACTGGATATTTTCTCTTTTTCAGAACATTCTCTGTAAATCCTAGAGATGGCTGTGCGTGAAAATCCCTGTGGAGCAGCAGTTTCTGAAATACTCAGACCAGCCTGTCTGGCACCAACAACGATGGCACGTTCAAAGTCACTTAAATCACCTTTCTTCGCCATTTTTATGCTCGGTATGAACTGCAGCAGATCATCTTGATCATGTCTACATACCCGAATTCATTGAGTTGCTGCTATGTGATTGGCTGATTAGAAATTTACATTAAACAGCAGTTGGACAGGTGTACCTAATTAAAAGGCCAGCGAGTGTATAATTAATCTGCTAAATATATCTCAACTTTTCTAAATCTATTTATACAAACTACACTGTAAAAAATGCTGGGTTCCACACAATTTCTTTCATATTGTCATAAAACAAATTGATTAAATTAACTTAATTCTTTTAACAAATTTAAGTGGATTGAACATAAAACAGTTAAGTTGTTTTATTAGAGTTACTAGTTACTTTATAACTACACTCAATGATAATGAAAGAGTGAGTGCTTACTTTCCGGGAGGTGTAGTGAGGATGCTGGCCCAGCTTTTTGTTCATGCTGTCCAGGCAAACTGTATCTGTGACTTTCCCTGCAATGAGACAGGCTTCATCCAGAACAGAGATAATCCCCTTATGAGGCTGCTCCACTAAATCCACAATGATCTGATTGTTAAAGTATTCGATCTGAGGAAAAACCATAGTCCAGTTAAAAATAAAAGATACCTGGATTAAGTTGTGCTACTTTATGTATTTGTGCATTATGCTCACATGTTGCCACGTGATTCCCTCTCTCTGGTACTCCTCCTGCTCCTGTCGCAGAATTAGCTCAATGAAGAGCTGCTGTAGCTTTTCATTGCAGTAGTTAATGCAAAACTGTTCAAAACTGCAGTTAGAAAATGGAAAAATCAATCAGTTTCAGCTATAGTGATATTAACCCTGTGAAGCCTAATATGTATGACAAAATATGTATATGGATAATATTTAAATAAAACCAGTGTAGTTAGTGTTCATCTTGAAATATATATTACAAAATAATAATACTTTAATAATGTATTCGTAACAGTGTTAACAATAAGTTATTAATGTGTTATAGATGCTAGCAAAGACTTGACAGCAACAAGGCGTGTGTATCATGACATGAAGGAGTGTGTTCAACTGTTTTTTCAGTAAAGTTTTATAATGATTAATTTGTTTACATGACTTTCCAACTAAAAAATAAATTTTTTCCATGCATTTTGACCAATCATTAACCATGATTTTATTGTAAATAAATCATTGTTTAATTATAGTAAAACTATGGTTATAGTAGGTTATAGGGAACAGGGTATTTTGCTGTATAGATTACCACTTGTACAATTACAGTACTACAAATACTATGATTAAAGTATGATTAGTGTATCAAAAAATAATTTGTGTTTACAATTGTTGAACTTCAAAACTGTTCTTTTTCTTTGTTACTGTGTTCTTTTCATATATAGTGTTTCTTACCAATGTGATGCCGCCATCTACTGGCCTGGCATGCATAATACAGCATTTTAGTAGTTCTTGAGGTGTCAACTGTGTGAATGTTGATCATTTTAACAATATTGTTGTTATGTAAACTAAGGTACCATTAGAAACCTTGTTTGCTTTGAAATGAATAAAACAGTAGGCATTATAGGGTATACAACTACGCAAGGTAAAAATAACACTGACCTGTTATTGTCAAAGATCTCAAAGCCATAAATGTCCAGCACACCAATAACAGTGTTCTTCCCGTGGAGGGCAGGATTGTAGTCTTTTACTTCAATAACGCCATTGATCCGACCAACAATCCATGCAAATAACCTCTCATATAAAGCCTTAAAATGAAAGCCATATCAGAATTACAACATATTATATGAATACAGCACAGACATATTACATTTAATGTGGTCATACGGGTCATACACCAACATTTTCCCTCCTAAGCTCCACTAACAATATTTTAGTTTCCACCCTCTCCATGACATTGAACAGACATTGTTGATGTACTGTGGGTGTTCATGCAAAAAAATGTCTTCACATTGATAACCAAAATGTACCCTTATAATCTCTAAAAATAAGACCCTAATAATTTTTGAAAATACAAACCACAACAAATAGAATATTTAAAAAATGTTTTTTATGTAGTTTAACCAGGGTAACCAAATATTATTACACACATTATTTTGCTACACTAAGTGTACTTATTATATTTGCTATATATATAGCAAATAGATGATGCATTTAACGATACCCGTTAAGCTCCACTTACAATGATTTAGCACCAAAGTAGCCGGTTTTACATTTTTCACCCTCTCCACACTAAACAGGCATTGTTGATGCATTGTGGGTGTTCAGACATTAATGTATTCATGCTTTGATGTCAGTTTAGTTTCATAATGAGCTGTTTCTGCAGTAATATACTTTCTGGAGAAGGACTTTGAGTTCTGAAAGTTGGTAGATGTTTACAACACACTGCTGGAACTGCTGTTTTTCAAAAGATGAAGGAAAGTGACAATTTTCACTTGACCTCTTTAGGAGTACTTGCATAATATGAATAATGGGACATTATTCATGTTATGATGAGGCACAAATGAAGTTTCTTTAACCTTGTTTTATACCTTGGCAAAAGCGTCTCTTCCATAGCTAGCTTCCTGCTCGCTGTGTCCTTTTTCAATGACCTCTCCACCCCCAGTAGCCACTGTGCGATACAGCAATGCTTTTCTTGTGTTCTCAGGCTCTGTGGACGTCAACTCAGAAATGTTTTTCAGCATGTCTTCTCCAACCAGCACGACATGTTCGCCATCACTCGTAAACTGAAGGTTACCCTGAAACAGTAACATCACAAAAGCTTAAAATTAGTAGTTTTCAATATAAAATAATTTCAAATAATACTGAAACAATATATAAACTAAGCTAAAATAAATTGCAAAATTTGTCGTTACTCTTTCATTGAAAAAAAAAAAACTTAAACTGAAAAAGGTCAAATTAAAGGTGCAGTAGGTGATTTGCCTTAATGCTAACCGGTTAGCATAAAATCTTTGGAACACAATCCCTCCCCAGCTGTCCAAAGCTACACCTTCTGAAACACGAACGGACACATTTAAGATGACAGAGACCCACTAGATCATGTCATTCGCCAGTTAAAAAACTTTATAGTACTTTAAAATACTACAATTCTGAATAAAAAAACTGTATTATATCTAGCACATTTTCAGTTGTGTAGTTACCAAGCAAAACATGTCATAATGTGGAATATTTCATGCATGCAAGAATTGCTGCTCTTATTCTCTAATGCGCTTTGTCCTAAACCGACTACTGTATAGTGGGTGGCCGCCGGCATGCAGAAATTACACTTATTGCTAAGCCATGCTTACATGATATTTCAGACCGAATATTCAGAGAAATGTTAGCATGGTAAACAATATAGTGAGCATGTCACAGGTTGACATTGTTCAAAAATAAACCAATATGAATAAAAAAACAACTTTACCTCAGTGAAACAGGCTAGGCGGAATAACGCTATTTACTGATGTTTTGTTGTTAAGCTAAATCGACATTACCGATGCTGTAAAAGGTCCCTTATGAAATTATGAAAAAATAGTCTCATCAATCTTTCTCCGGAAGATTCCAGTGGCTGAACAACACCAAAGAGGATAGAATCACCAAGAGGCGACACTGTAGTGCAATTTGAGTAACTAGATGCTGCTAGATGCCACTAGATGGTGCGACGGATATTCAAGATTTAAAATTTCAATAGAACAACAGCATATAAATAGTCTGTAAAATAAGCTATTGAAAGTACTGATGATTGTAATATTAAGTGTTGTATTGTCGACGTTCAGGTTGTATCTCAGCTTTAATGCGCTTTTTTAAATAAATAAATAAAAAACAGAGCAGCTGCTTGCCATCGCGACAGCAATAAGTTCCAATAGACGGCCGATCGCTTTCACTCCAGAATGGCGGAATCACGGGGCTGTCACTGGGCGCAGCTGTTGCAATGGAACATTCTATTGAGTGTCACCTCTTGGTCATTCTAAGCTCTTTGACAACACTTCTGTGCATATAACCCAATTGTAAAACAACACAATCTTCATAGGCTTTGCTTGTCTAAAAGACGTTTAAAACATAACATTACCTGTCTAAAAGAAATACTTCAGCCATGGGGTCATCCTGACAGTTTGGGCTACTTATGGACTACTTATACTACAATTACAGGAATTGTCAGTCCGACAAAGTTTAATTGGATGAATATTTTTTAGTCTTATATCGGAATATAAAAACACATATAAACACATGTAGATCATTTACTTTAATCATTACTATTGGAATGTGAAGAGACTGTCAACCAGCACAAAAAAAAAAGATCACCTACTGCACCTTTAATCAAACTTGACTGAAAATAAACTAATGAAAAGCAGGTATTGCTTTTCAATTGTGGGTCAACATAAGCATTAAAAAGACAAATGTATGGCAGTGGCCAGGACAAAACTGAAGTGTACTCAAAATTTTGGCCACATCTGTAAATATGCAAGCTGATTTCTTCATTTAATTTGTAGCATTGTTGCTTGCTTTTTTAACCGAGAACAATTGATATCATAATCTTGGACAATGGGACTATATTGTAATGTATGAGATAATAAAAGTGGGAATAATGAGTGAATTATAAAGTGAAATTTGTAGACCTAGAGAGTCATAAAAGCTACAGTATAGTCATTAAAACCTTTAATACTACATTTTGTGAAGTGTTATCACAAACCATTTAAATTTATCTGCAATAAACAACATTAGGAAAATTAATTATTTTAAAAATTCATGATCATTTATACAATAGTTTCTCATAGATCTATATTTGGCCAACCTAGTCAACCTAGTTGAGAACTACGGCTTTAAATTTTGGCAAATATTGATTTACCAAAATATCAAATTAAAAGCTACAAAGGCAAAGAAAAAATGTCAGAAAGCAATATTTCACAGCATTTGTTGTGAGACTGACCAGGTGTAGGATGGTACTGAGGGTCTTGTAGATGGAGCTGATTTCTTCAGCAGTAAAGCCAATCACCTTTAATGCTGCCATCACAGCTTTATGACATTGGGAGTCATTATTGGATGCCTTTGAGGATAATTTTTGCAAAGGGGAGAAAAAAAGAATGACTAAGACATAAAAACAACATTTTGTGCATTTTGCATCACTAATATTGGTTTTAAAAAGAGCACTAAGCTATACGTTTAGTCTTGAAAACATGTATAAACTACACTACTGTACTACTGTAGTTTTTGATAAGTACTTACAAGTGTGACAGAAGCTCCTTGACTGGTGTAGGTATATTCAGCAGGATCTCTCTGTAGATATAAGGACTTGAGCAAATCATCAGACCCTCCTCGTAACAACTGCATAAACACAACACGTGAATATTAACTTACATACTGAATAATGTAAAAACAGTTTGCGCAGTATTTGGCACTCTTTGAGTAATATCATACAATCTCATTTACTAAAACTTGGAAGAAGGTCTCACCTGATAAAATGAATGGAAGTTTCTTTCTCCTTCTTGCTGCTGAACAACTCTTGACTGTAAAAACAGCATAGTATTTGCATTAAATTGTTATTTCTGTGTCTTACATTGATTAAAAAAATAAATAAAAATTGGTAAACAATTGGTAATGATGAATGTGCCAAAACAAATCTCTGTTATTTTTTGTAAAGGAAGCAAATCCTAAAAATGAAAGCTAGTCAAAATAACATCAATCGAACACCCAAAAACAGTATTTATATACACTTATATTTACCATGCTGAAAAAAGCATATGCTGATGGTAAGGTATATGTTGTTTGCTGGTTTATGATGGTACTTGCTGTTTTTTTGCTGGTCCTGACCAACACATGGCCAACAAAGAACTAACCAGCTTAAACTATCATAAAACATACGTTACCAGCAGCATAGTTTTTTCAGCAGTTAGCATTAAAACATTAAAACAGAGTTTTATGCTGTTAATTATATTAAGAATGTTTCAACTGCTTTTTCAGTACATTTTTTACATTTCACATATAAATCAATTAGGCTATGTTACTCATACATTACATCATAATGCCACATAATGTTGTTTTGCCTGTGCACATGGCTCTGAATGTGGGATTGGCTTGCATTGGAACAACAAAAATCTATTTCAGTGTTCTACTCAATGACTGTAAAGAAAATGTGTTCTACTGATCACAGCAACAACATCAACAATAAGCTAGCCTACAGTACCTATTTGGGTGCGTACTATCCCTTTAACGCAAATTAATTAGATGATAATGGTCAATGGTCCTGATTCAAAACTAATAATTCATTCATATTACTTTAAAAAATTATAAATTCCATATTCAGATGCCAAGGTCTTGATGCTTTGTATTGAAGCAATCCTGAATTCTCACTTTCTCCAGCAGGTAATTGTTGATGTGTCCTCCCGTAGGATCTCCATTAAAGTTGAAGTTGATGTCCATGTATTTCCCAAAACGACTGGAGTTATCATTGCGGTTGGTCTTTGCATTTCCAAACGCCTCTAACACACAATTGGACTTCAGGAGCACGTTCTTCACACTGTGGCAGGATACAAATAAAGTCATATGAAAAAACAATAAATGTGTAAACAATCGTGTTTTTTCAGTCAGTGGACACCTACGGTGTGCAATAATGAGCAATGTTATACTGCCATCTAACGACAGTCAGAAGATATAATTTTAAATTTGTTTGAATGTGAAACATTTTCAAAGCGGATACATTTTTATCTCTAAATAAATTTAATTGCCAAACATGCAACATATCTGTCGTCAGATAATCTGTTACACAGTATAATATAGTGAAATACATCCAATTAATCGATTTATATAAGTAAATGTAAAGATTAAAAAAAAAAAAACTATTGGAGCTGTCAACATCTCCGAGAATCTGACCTCTCGACCTCTGCCCTCTGGCTAGGGTTGGTGATCGCTGCAATGTATTGCATAATATATTTGCTTGCCTCGGTCTTGCCTGCTCCACTTTCACCTGAAACACAAGGAAATCATTTTATCAGTTTTATTCTATCTCATAAAAGGTACTGAGCAAACTATGCACGGTTTATTACACCATATAATTTCACTGTTGGTCCTCCTAGTTCTATAGTTTTAATTAAAAGAGCACGAAGAAATAAAAGCAACGCTACTGCTGTACTGTATATGTAAATTTTTTTCAGTTTTTTCAAATCTTTGTTAACCCTTAAGGTGAATGGCCAGTGAACATTTTAATAGCAGAAATAACAATTAATGATAAAAATTATTTTACAGATTCATATTTTTTAATAAAATGACCCCAACTTAAAAAAAAGAAATATATATATATAGTTTGCATGTTCTCCCTGCCTTCACGTGGGTTTCCTCCGGGTGCTCCGGTGAATTGGGTAGGCTACATTGTCCGTAGTGTATGAGTGTGTGTGTGAATGTGTGTGCGGGTGTTTCCCAGAGATGGGTTGCGGCTGGAAGAGCATCCGCTGCATAAAAACTTGCTGGAAAAGTTGGGGGTTCATTCTACTGTGGCGACCCCGGGTTAATAAAGGGACTAAGCCGACAAGAAAATGAATGATATATATATATATAAATCCGGTTTTAAATCGGATGTGTGCAAGCATTTCGGTTAGGGGTGTTGTTGTTGACATCGCGCACGTACTGAATAGCGGTGTTGTCGCGTCGGGCTGGATGGAGGGTGTGTCGCGTCGCGGGGGTACTTTTGATCATTTTGGAAGGGCACTTTCTATCCAAGACTAAAAAGGGCATGTGCACTGCACAGGTTGAGCCCTATGTGTGCACTTGCCTGCAAGTTGGGGAATACGACTAATAACAGTCATGGGGACTGCAGAAACACAGCACACTGTTCAGATTGATGCAGACATTGACTTGTACCGCAAAGAGACCTCTATCTCACTCATGGCTTGTCCTCTCAAGTTGGGGAAAGACAATGCACAACGTTACCCACTGCTGTCAACCTGGGCCAAGTCATATCTCTGTCCCAGAAACCTCCGTCCCAAGTGAGAGGGGTTTTTTCTGTTGCAGGGGACATTGTAAATGACCAGAGATACCAGCTTTTACCAGATTATAGTTACTGTATATAATTTTCCTTAAAACCCATCTCTATCTAAGTGAGTGAGTGAGTGATTAAATGTTGAATGTGATGAGTTTTCAACAATACTAAATTGAAACTTTATTTTTTTACATGGTTTAATAATTTTTTGTTATTAAAATTGAAAAATTGAAGTTCCTGTTTCAAAGCTCACAGATAGATGGCTAATTTGTATGTCATTGACACTTTTGGCACTTTTTTGGGGTATTTTCATTAGTTTTGTTTTTCCTGTAAATGATTCAATAAATACCGTACCGTGCCATTCATACCGAGGTATTACCGTACCGTGAAATTCTGATACCGTTACATTCCTAATATATATATATATATATATATATATATTTCCCAGAGATGGGTTGCGGCTGGAAGGGAATCCACTGCGTAAAAACTTGCTGGATAAGTTGGTGGTTCATTCCGCTGTGGCGACCCCAGATTAATAAAGGGACTAAGCCGAAAGAAAATGAATGAATATATATATACATACATACATATATGTGTGTGTGTGTGTGTGTGTGTGTATATAGTTAAAGTCATAATTCTTAGCCCACCTGAATTATTAGCCACCCTGTTTTTTTCCCCCATATTCTGTTTAACGGAGAAAAGATTTTTTCAACACATTTCTAAACATAATCGTTTTAATAACTCATCTTTAATAACTGATTTATTTTCTCTTTTCATTTTTTATTTATTTATTTTTTCTATTGTCATATGTTTATGAAGGCTGTAAACTTATAGGGTACAATGATTGTCTTAGGGGTAAATTTTGACCCACCAGCTATCGGAAACATTTTTACACCACAAAACCTACAGGCACACACATGCACACAGATATACACCCAAACACATAACTTTTAGACCCTTAGGACAAACCTTAAGACCATACAAGGACTATACAAGGTCATCTGAAGGAAAACAAATCACAGAGATTACAAGTGGTGCTTGAATAATTTAACAGCACATTCTCACTTTTGGGCTAACAGCTCATTTATCAAGGAGATTAATGTCATATTGCTAATGCCTGTGCAGATGTATTAGTTATGTACCTGAAATAACAATGCATGTGTCTTTGGCTCGTCTTTTCATGGCTTTATAAGCTGCATCTGCAACAGCATAGAGGTGAGGTGGATTCTCATACAGTTCTCTTCCCCTGTAGTCCTCAATGACATCCTTCCCATAGATATCCAAATGTCTGTAAGGGTTAACGGACACCACTACTTCTCCAATGAAGGTGTAGATACGACTCTTCTCAAACCTGAAAACAACAGCCATATGTGTCAAGCTGAACAGGCAGAAATAGCTTTAACAAGACTAGACTGTTTTCCTCCCACGTGCTGGTCTGGTTTAGTTCCTGATGACCAAATAGGCACATTATGATACATATATATGGTAACATTATTAGATTTGTTTGATTGTTATTTTATCATAAATTTTAATGTACAGTGTTCAGCCTATATAAGTATATCCCTTACAAATTTATCTTTTAAATTCATATTTTTAATAGAAAGCTATACAATATTATATTTGTGCATATAGGTTAGATTAGTCAGTACTGAAGCCAAATCTGGAGATAATTTAACAAAATAACTTATGATAACGGTCCAAAAACTACTACACCCAAATTTATGTTTTAGAAAAATATTAAATGCAAATTTAAAATAAAGGGAAAAAGAAGAAGCTAAAATATTGCATTTTTTAATTTTATTTTTTATTTTATTTTGTAGGTTGTAATTTATTTTTGCAATGTTTTGCTTGAATTTAATTGTATAATCTTTCAATTTCTAAATATGTTTAATGAAAAAAATAATTTTTAATAAATATATTTGTTTAATAAATTTGTTTAGTTTAAATACACCAAAATACATTGCCTATATAAGCTGAACAATTGATAAAATATACATTTTTAAAATAAGGTGTACTTAATTATGCTGAGAACTGTACTTATTGTTAAAGAAGATTGTTAAAGAATCCTATGTAATTTTGTTTCCCAAGAAAACATACCTTGCATCTTGACTTGGACAAATAAGACAAAATATATTGAGGAATAACATGTCTCAAGATGATTAAAAAATCCTGTAAGTTGCAATTTTATAGTTATTTAGAACAAAAACACTCAAAAGCCATACGTCTGTTTGTTTCTTTTTCAAATTAACTCTAAATATAATGACAACAAGTTGAAAGTTCTATTTTTTAAAACTCATAGCCAAAATAACACATTTTACTTATATATATTACATATTGACAAATTTTGCTCCATTGAGTTTATTCCCTAAATTTCCCATGCTTCATCTTCAGAATGTCTTAAATAATCTTACATGAACCTTTATAAAAACTATAATAAAAAAAACTGTCTCAATATATAGCTTTTATTTACAGTTGAAGTCAGAATTATTAGCCCTCCTTAGATTTTTTTTCTTCTTTTTTTAAATGTTTCCCCAAATGATGTTTAACAGTGCAAGAAAACTTTCATAGTATGTCTGATAATATTTTTTCTTCTAGAGAAAACTTATTTGTTTTATTTCGGCAGAATAAGAGAGAGGGGTCTGGCTGCAGACCTGGTGCAGTGCAATCTGGGCTGCATCCAATGCTTTTTAATGGGCTCCCCTAACCCTATGAATAATGGATTATTCATATATATATATATATATATATATATATATATATATATATATATATATATAATATATATATAATCCATTTTAAAGTCCAAATTATTAAACCCTTTAAGCTATATATTTTTTTCGATAGTCTACAGAACATACCATCGTTATGCAATAACGTTAACGTTATACAATATGCTCTAACCTGCGTAGTTAACCTAATTAACTTATAGTTAAGCCGTTAAATTGCTGTTAAACCTTCTCCTAAACATTTCTTAAACTAAGGAGATGGTCATTGATTTTAAAGAGAGAACACAAAGCAAAACTAGTTTTACGTTAATTAATGGGGAATAAATTTAGTAAGTAACAAACTATAAATATTTGGGTTTAATGTTGGACAATAAACTGAAGTGGGATGTATGCACTGATTGTGTAGGGAAAAAGCTTCAACAGAGAATGTATTCTTAAAGACATTATTGTCTTTTAATGTTGACAACATATTGTTGATCATGTCTTGCAACATTTTGTTGGTATGGACATACTTCTGAGGCCCAGAAGTGGTCACTGGGAAAGCTGGTAACAGCAGCCAGTAAATTGTTGGGAATAAAACTAAAGAGCATTGGTAGAAAGAATACTAAATAAGGCTATCATGATTGTCAATGATGAGAGACATCTTTTAGAAACACCTTTCAATTGTTACCATCAGGTCTTCGATATTTTGTTCCCAGGTGTGTAAGAAATAGGACAAAATTATCATTTATACCCCAAGCAATTAATTTTTTAATTTCCTCCTCCCTCAGTTGATGGCTAGTAGACTGGATATTTATTCAGAGAAGGGGGTTCCATGTTTTTAAATGATTTATATATATATATATAGTTAACTAAATAGCTAACTTGTTAACTAACTTAAACGTCCCTTTAAGTTGTATAGAAGTGTCTTGTAAAATATCTAGTAAAATACTTTCTACTGTCATAATAGCAAAGATAAAATAAATCAGTTTTTAGAAATTAGTTATTAAAACTATTATATGGAGACATTTGTTGGAAAAAGATTCTCTTCATTAAACAGAAACTGGGGGAAAGAATTAACAGGGGGGCTAATAATTCTGACTTCTACTGTATATTTTATGTATTATTTATTTTAGTATTTTTAAGCATCATTTATATTTGAAGTACCAGATGGATGCTACACAGTGGTGATGTGTGTAGATACCTCCTCACACAATTTTAAAGCACTTTAACTGTATGTCCATACACAATAAATGCCCAATTACATTATGTATAATTATTCAGTTTTTCTGGAGACAACTGAGAAATTTAAACAAGAGGAAACAATTGACTTCACGCTAGGTATTATAAGACAGTAAATTTCTCAATGTCACACGCCCATAATCAGCAGGAAATGATACAAGGCTGGGAAGTGAGAACAGGAAGTGCAGTGGGCTCAAGATGACTCGCTTTCTAAATTTCAAACAACACACACACACACAAAAAAAAAAAAGTGTAATCTTGGTTAAGTATAAATTAAATGCTACGTCTTCCTGGTTAAGCACTACAATGTGGAGTCATTATAATATACTTTGAAATCTTACAGACACATTTAATATATAACTTAAATAAAACTAATGTTTTGTAAAATCTAATGTTTAAAGATTCAGTTTGTTCCCTCTGCCAACTATTAGTGTTTTGACGTGTGATTTGCTACACAGTCATATGAGGCCTGGTCAGACCTCAGCTGACGAAAAGCACAAAATGTACAAGAAACAGGCATTTTCCCCGATGTGGTTTCAAATACGCAATAATCTCTGACAAATCAAGTATATAATGACACTTGCAAACGAACACATTTTAACTCTACAAAAATCTTGCGAAAAGGTCATCGGATTCAACCCGATGACCTCAGATGTCACACTTGGGAGTCAATCATTCATGTTAAAGGAATGGAGAACTCGAAACTACTAATTTCATCACCAGAAAGGATCAGATCATCCGGGCTGACCCTTATCAGCTGTGTTAATGTATGTTTATTTTGTTGTTTGTCTTAAGTGTTGATATGAACCACTTAAAAGTAATATTTCAGCTACGAGCGGGAAAGTCATGAGTGTTATGACACATTGTTTCCCCTCAACTTTTTTTCCTCTTCCTTTAAAAATGTCATTTTCTTGCCTGTGTGTTTGTCTACCAAGAGGGAAGTGGTGAACAAGGTATTAAAACATTAGTAAATAAATATTAGCAAATAAAATGTTACTTTTAATAAAAATACACTTACTTTTGATAGTGAAACCAACTTCATAGGCAAATTCTTACAGATTCAAGATGTTATCAAAGCTTCCAGATTCCAAACTATTCAACATCTACACCAAGTATCATTTTCTACATCATCTTGGTAATAGTTCATTAACCTCTGTACATATCACAGCTTAATGTGAAATAAGTAACTCTTACCTCAACTTCAAATTCTCCATAAACTGCTCCATAGTCACTTCATCTAGAAGCACAAAGTCTGACTTTCCAAACTCCAAGCCCTCCAGCTCCGCCATCCCTGCAACTGGAGTGTATCTGGAGGACAGATGATGGAGAGAAGAGTGGAAGATGGAAGGCAAGCACTGACTGCACTCTTCTCAAAACCGGTAGACAAATGTGGAGTAGGAGTGGCCTTAGTCTTGGTCTTCGCATGCTCAGAGTAAGTGCTCACTTCTCAGTGAAGTCACTGTGGTCTTCGGGTTCCAGCATGTCATACTGTTTAAGAGAACAATTTTCTATTAGTGTATTTTTGTTCACGTGTGGGCAGGATGTTTAAATGCTTTTTCACACTTGTGTGAGCCACCACATGCCTTTTTTTTTTTAACCAATACTTTGTTAGTTACTTCCCTTGTGAAAAAGATCTTTAATGTACCTTTAAACACACTGAATTAATTATTAAAATACATTTAATAATAATAATAATACAGAAGTCAGAATTATTAGGCCATCTGAATTATTAGCCCCTGTTTATTTTTTGTCCCCAATGTCTGTTTAACTGAGAGAAGATTTGTTCAACACATTTCTAAACATAATAGTTTTAATACCTCAATTCTAATAACTGATTTATTTTATCTTTGCCATGATGACAGTAAATAACATTTGACTAGAGTTTTTTCAAGACACTTCTATGCAGCTGAGAGTAACATTTAAAAGATTAACTAGGTGAAGTAGGTTTAGGATAATCAGGCATATTATTGTATAATGATGGCTTGTTCTGTAGACTATTGGAAAAAAAAAATCTATATATATAGCTTAAAGGGACTAATAATTTTGTCCTTAAAATTATATATATAAAAAATAAAATAAAACTGCTTTTATATAGGTGAAATAAAACAAATAAGACTTTCTCCAGAAGAGAAAATATTATCAGACATACTGTGAAATTTTTCTTGCTCTGTTAAACATAATTTGGTAAATATTTAAAAATAAATTAATTTTTAATTATTTACTAATAATTATTTACTAATATTTCTGCCTTGAACTGTATATCTCTTGTTCAAATACATTACGAATGGCAATTAAGCTATTTATTTTCAGTGTTCTTTATTTCCACCTGGGAATGCTCATCCTGAGATCCCTAGAGATTGTGCAGCGCCATTGATGGGATCCAAGCTCTTGGAAGAGATGATCCAACCATCGAGGACTTCCAGGACAAAATATACACTTTATACACAAATACACTTCATTAAACATCAATATAATAAATTAAATATGTATAAAACTTATATTTTATTGTAAATTTAATTTCATGTGATTGTATGCAATGATGTGCACCTTTTGTAAAGCTGCTTTGAAACAATAATTACTCTATAAGTGCTATACAAATAAATATGAATTGAATTGCATATAAAATTGTATTAAAGTCCCAGTTAAAGATAGAAATGCTGTCATTTTTACTCATCATCCATGTGTTTAGAACCTGCCTGGGTTTCTGCAAAAAAAAACAAAAAAAAAAAAACACTACACACAAAAAATAATTTTGCTGCCCGTTGAAACTACATATTTAAAATAAGCTGAAACAAAACAGTTCTGGGCATTTTTGGAAGAACCCTACTTGTTTTATGTCGACAGTTACAGTTGCTACATTTATTACAGTGTGTACATTGTAAAAAACACAATTCCTTCATGTTTTACCAATACAAATGTTTTTTCCAACAAAAAGTTTTTTACAAGCTTAAGTGGATTAAACAAAAAAAGATTAAATTGCACAAAGAATTACCCTAAAAAGAATTGTGTTGTTTCACAATCCAAAAACTCATTTTTAAAACGTAGTTTGAACAAGCTAGCAGCAAAAGTTATTTTTTGAGTGTAGAACTCGAAAGAAGATATTTTGAAAAAAAATGTTATCTAAACAGTGGATGGTCAATAGTGATCACTACTTCATTAGTCTGTGATACATTTGAAATCAGTTACGAATAAGCGTAGTTAGTTAAAAACATTACATTAAGTTTGCAGTGGTGCAATTAAGTGCATTGGTGATATTACAGTATAATTTAGCTCACATTAATTATGTCAAACTTTTAGCATTGATTAAAAACACAAGAGCCAAAATTTAAAAATAAGACCATAACAAATGTACTAAAGTCACATTTAATATAAGATACATTTAAAATCAGTTACATGTTTTATGTATTTAGTTTGTCAAAATATGACATTAAACATAATTCAAGTCTTATATATATTATCTTGCTTATAGTCATTAAAATTGAAACATGAACTTAAAATGAACTATTATATATGTGAATTGCATATATTTCTAAGTATCATGTTTCCCAAATGAAAAGTGGTTTTAAAAATCAGTTGCATCTTATCAATTTAAAATGTGATACAAATTGAAATGAATGATAATTCACCCAAAACAAACAATTTTATCATATACTCAACTTTGACGACACAAACTTTTTCTGATGAATACAATAAAGGATATTTGGCAAAAATGAAAGAAACCTGCAACCAGTGATTTTATAGTATTTGTTTTTCCTATACTACGGAGGTCAATAGAGGTTTTCAACATGTTGCTTTTTTGTGCTTCATCAGACAAAAAAAAAAAAAAAATCATAAAAATATGGAATAACTTCAGGGTGAGTACATTTTAAGTGAACTATCCCTTTAAGATGCGAAAGCTAACTGCTCTTTTAAAATGTAAGTATGCTACATGCTAAAAGCATGACAAAACACTTTCTTTTTACAATGGTTTCACTGTGTGCTTTGTGTCCTTTCAGAATGCTTTGACGTACACGATGCAGTTATGTCTAGTTTATTCAGTATAAGACAAATAAGATCATTATCATACAAGAGGAATCAGAAGATGAATGGCATTTCTGAAAAAAGCTCATCCGCTTTCTCTGGTTCTGTATGGAGGAATGTGGATCATCAACTACTGTCAAGATCTTGATCTTTCACATTAGACTGAGTTTGTGCTGCCCACACATGCTAATCTAGAATCAGTTCCATTCTCCAAAAAAATCTGCTCACAACCATAAACAACAGACAAAACAAGAGACAGACAGAAAAGGAAGCACAACACACCATTTAAGGAGAAATGAGGGGGTGCTGGGAGAAAATGTGATACAAATCAGCAATAAGGCTATTAATTAAATTGAATTACTCATTCCAAAATTAGCAATCTCCTACTCAATCAAGTTACATCAACTCAATCAAGTTACTTGCAATTATGACCAAATATTGTTTATTTAAAGTTGTCATATAACTGGCAACCAAAAAGCATTTCAGATTCCAATACAAAAGAAGGATGTTTAAGCATTAGCACGTGAGAAGAATGTTGCAAACTGGTAGCTATTGATTTGCATAGAATTTATTCTGCTATGTCAATCGCTTACAATAAAATAAAATAAAGACTCTTTCCCTCTTACAATTCTGGACAGTACAAAGAAAGAACATTTTTAAAACATTTATTAAAAGGAATCTTTATGCAAATACAGTAGTTTGAAAACAAGAGAATGAGCTTATGTTAATCAGCAGTCATAGTTTTTATGAACTAATTTAACAATCAGCTATTATAAACATCAACAGATTGATTAGAGCTTAACATCAATCATTTATTAATCTAATTGATCGGAATCTGTATTCTTTAAAATTACAAAAATACCTGAATTATTCAAATGCCCCTAAAGGTTAAATTATAATGACCAAAATATAATTAAATGCAAAGCTTGTGATTACAGTAGAATGAGATTAGAAAAACTGTAATTGAAATACTCAAAAAATAATTCAGTACCATATCTCACTAAATACAATATTACATCAGATCAATTAAAGTGATTGTTTTACAAATCCCAATCAAGGACTCTCTAAACAAAAATAAATCTATTTTTTACATTCAAATTCTTTCTTTTTTCAGTTAGTCTGACAGAGATCAGCTCAGCCCTAAGTCAACCACAGGCCTCACTTCCTGTCGAATACAGAAAAAGACACTTCCTCATTGAGTCTCCATGGTAATGCAGGGGAGATTTGACAAATCGGCAATGCAGGACAAGACTAAAGAAAGTGCAAATACTAAGAAAAAAAAGTTAAACAAAAATTTATGTAAAAGACATTCATTGGATATGGTGATTTTCTTTATCATATAATTAATTATAAATCAATCGTTGTTGCTTTTACAAAATGCTCAAGAGAGTACAACTTAATAAATAGATGTGATAATGACCAAGCACTAGTGTTAAATCCTGCTGTTGGAGGGACACTCTCATGCAGATTTTAGCTCAAACATAGTTGCCTAAACATTTCTTGTCAATTATGATCTTCTCCACTTTCATAAAAATTAAAATAATTATATATATAAATAAATAAATAAATGTGGTGCTTGCATGCATGCTTCAATTCTGGTAGAATATTAAATGGGACACCCTATGGTCTCACGGTCTTAAGTGACACATGCACACGAGTCTTACTTATCCCTTGCTCAAAGATGTTGAATGTAATTTTTTGTCAAAATAAATGATCATAACCCTCAACCTAAAACCTATCACCTATAACAATCATCTATCCTCAATAGTGTGAACACTGGGCTTTCTGTGCACCATAAAATCATTTAGAGCGATAAACTCAAATCTGTTAATTGAACAATAAAGAGAAGGTGGAGAGGATGGTGGTTATTTAGATATAAGTTCTGGCCAATCTAATTTTAAAAAAAGACAGAGAAAGTTAGTTTCAAAGAGATAGACCATTCTGTCATAATTTACTCACCCTTGACTTGCTCCAAACCAGTGTAAGTTTATATATATTAGTAAATATAGGATATGCAATGTATTTTGGTGCATTTAAACAAAACAGATTTATTAAACAGATATATTTATTAAAATAATATTTTAGTCACCAAACACCTTTAGAAATTGAAAGATAATACAATTAAAATAATCTAATGTATATGCAGAAATAAAATATTGTATAGCTTCCCACTATAAAATATTAATTTAAAAGATAGATTATAGTTTTGTGAGGGGTGTACTGATATATACTGAACACTAATATATATATATATATATATATATATATATATATATATATAAACCTGTTTATATATTACCTACCTATTGGCTTCCATTGTATTTGCTTTTTTCCAACTGATGTCAGTGATTACAGGTTTCCAACACGCTTCAGTTTATTTTCTATTATGTTCAACAGAAAAAAATGTCAAAGGTGGGTAAATGATGACAAATCCTTTATTTTTGGGAAAAGTTTCCCCTTAAGCATTTTTGAAAAGTTTTGATTTTGTTTTTGGGGTGCACGTTGATTTTCATAGTTAGCTGTTTTAATAATGCATTATTTTTCAACATATTTCAATATTGTAGTACCTCTCTTGTCAGTGTACCACAAAGCACTCCATTTAGTTCAATTTTTTATGAATGCCCACTTTCCAAAAAACAAAATGTGCTCTGATTGGTGAGCTGGCGTAGTGTTATAATAATTGTTTTTGGCTTAACTTAAAAGATATATCTGAATGATTGAAACTAGAGGTATACCTTAACTTTAAGATTTTAATTATCATGTAAAATAAATCATGGGGATCACAGAGATCTATCTACAGCATATAGTAGGCCTATGTGTGGGTCAGTGAAAGGGAAACAAGACTGCATCATAGCAAAGTATTCAAAACTTAAGACGAAAAGGTGATACAATAAACTGAGTAGTACAACAGCTACAGTGCAACTGTGTGTGACAAATGTTACACACGCTATTTTTGTTTGTTATAGACACATTTTTGCATTTCTACCAATCAGCTTCTGCATCCAGTGTGAAACAAGCAATTAAGCATGATACCAACTAGGGATGTAACGGTATTGTAAATACCGTCATACCGCAATATTAAATTTTTTCGATATTACCGAAGTCGCATGACTCGGTAAAACTATAGGTCTTCTGAGAAAATTTGCTCAGGCGAATGAAGCGAACGGGAGGTAGCTGGAACTTCATTTCCCATCAGCCCCGGCGTGGCCATAATCCTTTGCGGTCTGCTGTCGCTACAGATCCAGTAATGCGGAAATGGAGTGTGCTGCTAGTAGCGGAGATGAAAAAAAGATGGAAATGATCGAACCTAAAGCGGGTGTTGTCGCCGCGCGCGTGCTGAATAGCGGTGCTGTCGCGCGCGTTCTGATCAGCTGTGTTGTGGCGCGCGTATTGTAAAGCGCCGAGGGGGGGTTGAGCGCGCATACTCAAGAGAGGTGTTATCGCGCGCCTACTGAAGGGCTGGACTGGACGGAGGTTGTGTCGCGTCGCGGGGGCACTTTTGATCGTTTTGGAAGGGCATTTTCTATCCAAGACTAAAAAGGGCATGTGCACTGCACAGGTTGAGCCCTATGTGTGCACGTGCCAGCAAGTTGGGGAATACGACTAATAACAGTCATGGGGACTGCAGAAACACAGCACACTGTTCAGATTGATGCAGACATTGACTTGTACCGCAAAGAGATCTCTATCTCACTCATGGTTTGTCCTCTCAAGTGGGGGAAAGACAATGCACAACGTTACCCCACTGCTGTCAACATGGGCCAAGTCATATCTCTCTTGTCCCAGAATCCTCAGTCCCAAATGAGAGGGGTTTTTTCTGTTGCAGGGGACATTGTAAATACTCAGAGATACCAGCTTTTACCAGATTATAGTTATATGATAATTTTCCTTTAAACCCATCTCTATCTAAGTGAGTGATTAAATGTTAAATGTGATGAGTTTTTAACAATACTAAATTGAAACTTAATTTTTTTACATGGTTTAATAATTTTTTGTTATTAAAATTGAAGTTCCTGTTTCAAAGCTAACAGATAGATGGCTAATTTGTATGTCATTGACACTTTTGGCACTTTTTTGGAGTATTTTCAAAAGTTTTTTTTTTCCTGTAAATGATTCAATAAATACCGTACCGTGACATTCATACCGAGGTATTACCGTACCGTGAAATTCTGATACCGTTACATCCCTAATACCAACACATGTCTAAAACGTAAAAGATTGTTGTCTGTATGAGATTAACCAGGTCCTTCCTCTTTTGTGTTTTGGTTAGCTTAAATTATCAAATGAATTTCTTTTGGAATTCACAAATAAAAAATAAAAAAGCCATTCACCATTGTTCTTGAAAACTGCTTTCTGTTAGAATAAGAATACCTCACTTTGGAGTTGATGTCTGAGCTTTGTAACTTTGCCACAGCAATATTACATACTAATAAAGACTATAAGAAAATATTGCCAGGAAAATAAAGTTGTCATCAGTGTGTCTTATTTATTAGATTTAGTCACTTTGAAAAATTTTTGATGAATTTTTGTATTTGTTTCAGGTCGAAGAGCAGCTAAGATTTTTGGTATTGGGTTAGATTTCTGGGCTTCATTAGATGGTTTTGAATTCTGCTGATCATAATTTGACAGTTCCCGGTTTACTTGATTACCCTGAGATTTGTGTTTTGATCGAGTGGCGCTCTGTGAGCGTACACGTTGTGTCATAGATTTAGGTGTTCTACCTCTTTCCTGTGGTACTTCTAGCTGCAATTCAGAGTCCTTTTGAAAACGTGAGGCAGAAGAGCTACTCGCAGAAGTAGTGTTCAGAGCAACAGGACGTTCAAGTTCAAGATTCTCCATTCTCTGCCTTGTGTTTTTTCTTGTCAAAGAGCTGCTGCGTCGCAATACATTCCTCTCCATGAGTTTTGCTGGTGCAAATTCAACCTTTTCTCCAAGAAGCCTTTGCTTTGCTTCATAACTGTTTTGCGATGACCCTACCACTTTAATAATGCTACCTTTATGCCTAATTAAAACTTTGTAGATCTTTTGAAATGAATTTGCTTTCCGAAAAATCTCGTTTGTATGACTGTCATCAAGTTCATTCAGATCTATTTCTTGTGTGCATAGAGAAGACCTGAAGTTTTCTATCAATTCACGCAATTCTTTTGCTGCTTCCTCACAATCTCCTCTAGAGAGTTTAACCATAACAACCTCTGAATCAACCACTGAAACGTAACTAATATGAGTGCGATAATCTGACTGTATTTTTTCAACAGAATCTTCATTGAAATGCATTATGTATTCCATCACATCTGGATCTGCATGGAAGGAATCCTCAGTTTTCCTGGGAGACAAGCGATGGATGCTTGTGGGTGTATCTTCATAGTTCCTGGAGGGACTGTTAAAGGAACTATCTATCCTGGAGCTTCCATTGTGTACTGAGGAAGTCTGCAAAAATGCCATCTTGTTTGGAGATTCTGACTTTACTCCTGAAGATGTGCTTCTAGACATAACATACACTGAGCTGCCATTATTGGGTCTGTATCTTGATGTGACATTGGATCTGGATTTATATTCATAGTCACTTGAGCCAGCTCTGGAGGCAGAGTCTGAGTAGCCATTAGTGTAGTGAGAAGGTGTCCTTTGAGAGTGAGTTTCTTCAGCAAGAATCTGCATCAGCTTTGGATAAACAAGTTGAAGCTTGAGAAAGGAACCCTGCAATTGCATCTGCCCTGATCTGGTCGGTGTCACCTGAAAGCCATGGTTATCAAGAAGTTCTACAATCTTCTTGTGGCTGGAGAACAGGTTCATATTGAGAAATGTTTCGGCTGGCATGTCCAGCTAAGAAAATGAATGGAACATAAGCATGTCAGGTAAACATATTTGCCATTATTGATCTACTGTTACTTTAGTTTTAGGATACATGTACTGTAAAACAAGATGATAATCAGGAATCAGTAGTAAATTATGAGACATGCTGACTACTATATTCACTTGTAAAATGCACAATTCTGTATTGTTTATTTACAAATAAATTTCTTACCAGAGGCAGGTCCACCTGCTTAACAACCAGTGGGTAAAACTGACTCTCCACTTGCAAAACATGAGTGTGTTCCAAGACTCCAGGAACTAAAATTTTGGATATAATATTGATAATAACAACAACAACAATAATTATAAAACACAAGACTTGTTTGTCAGTATATATGGTAAAAAATATAACAATGGATAATATCATACCCTCTTCTGATTCAAAGACTACATAAGCCTGGCCCTTGTTGGAAGTGGGATAAATCACTGTTAAAACATCTTCTCCTTTGTTACAGCGCCTCAGAAAATGGATAGTTAATTTGTCAATCATTGCATCTTCTCGGTAGCTGTCCGGGAGCCCATTCACTTCAATAACCATTCCCGTCATGTCCATCCTAAAACTGAGCAATGAATAACTGTTAATGATTGTGATAAAAGTTACAAATAACCAGTTATTACAACACAAAATTACATTATATTTCTTTCTTTAGTTAAAGTTTAGATGTCTGTTCATATGAACAAAATATTGGACAAACAAATTAAACCAATGCTGAATACTTTCTAAATGTTACCAATACCACGTCAACTACAAACCAAAATCAGAAATAAACTATAACAATGGAACCCAGATTGAATGCATTCAGAAAATAACGCATTTGTACAGACGTTAACAAAAATATGAAATTAATAACTTTATTTATCTCACAAATTGTTCCCAAATTCCTCAACAATTCAGCAACACGAAAAAGAATGTACCTAATCCCTACTGAAACGGCGAGTGTTTAGACCTTGTTGCTAGTGCACGTTTGTTTACATTTCAGAATTCGGTTGTTAGTTACATTACTGAATACAGGATGAGATTGATTGTAATTTAAATTAAGAGTAACGTAATGTGCATTTAAATATTATGTATTAAGAGTAGATCGCAAATTACTAGTTGCTAAGGTAACAGAAAAAGAAAGTTGTTGGGATATAAAACGTGGCAAACTAGTTTTACAGCTGGCGTTTTACCAAAACATATCGCCATAGTAACAGGAAATCCCATAGTTTTACAAGTAAAAGCGTACGGTGATTCTTGGTGGATTCCAGATTTAGAAATTTACCTGTGGTTGATTGTATAATTTCGTTCGCCAGGATAAAAAATTAAAGAAATACTCCCTCGTGTTGAAGCGAAAGTGAAACTGCGCTGATCAGAGCTTGATGAAAACAAGGGGGCGTGCCTGAGCTCTCACAGAAAAATTACGAGTAACTTCCTTTAAGTATTTTAATCTGCAGCGGACTGGAGGACACTTTACAAAATACGGTTTTCTTTGAGTTTTAGAAAAGTTTTTTTTTCTGTTTTAAAAAAGCTAAAATTTGCATAAATGTCAAATTAAATGTATTTAATCAATGACTTATCCAAGACTGGAAATAAATAAAAGCCGCTAAACCAAGATACATGTGATGAATTTGTTATGCAATTTACAAATTCAAAGGAATAAAATTACTTTAATTTGTATATTTTGGCAGTCATCAAAACTAATCGTAAAGAGAACAATGCAAGTCCATAAAAAATTGATAACCACTTTTCCCCTTATAGTCTACACTACAGTTCATACAGCATTTTAAATAGTTATAAAACTGTCACCTGTTATATCTTTCTAAATTGTACGTTATGTCTACCTTACGGAGTTAAAAACAGTACGGTTTCAATATATATTTTTAATAAACATCACCAAAGGGTCACCCAAACGTCACTAGATGGCGGTGTGTACTGTAAACAAAACCAGATTAGTGCAGTAGATCTCTGGTTTGAGAATATCTTTAAACTGCAATATTGTGAAAAGGTTATACATTTCACTGTATTTTGCAATGTGATAAAAATACAAAACATAACACCAGTATTAGAGAATGTCCAAAAAATAAAAATCTAATATTGTGTATTCCACTGATAAACTTCAAGACCCTCATTGTGGATTGAAACTAGTGTTATTGGTGGAATTTGTGCCGGCTTCCAACTCTTACCTTTTTGTAGGAGAGAAAAAAAAACCCCTGCACATCTGAAGCTCACTTGAATACAACTTCATGACCTTTGCTCAATTTGAAAACATAATACAAAGTTGCAAGTCTAGAAGTTTTTTCTTCTTCTAGACATTTAAATAGAATATATTTCAGAGCAGTAATCAAAATATCATAAAACTGTGATCTCTTTTATCCAAGGTTAATCATACCGTCAAAATTTACTACTAGCCCATGCCTTCTGATTGACTGATATCTGTAAAATTTAGACACTTTGATAGTGATGTATTATTTGGTGAAAACCATAAATGTAACTTTAATTACCCATTTGTTTAATGCTAAAAATGTTAGGTTGTATTCGTAAGACAGCTCAAATGATCACAAAAACAAGACAAAACCGTTGATAGATGCAGAATGAAGAAATCCCACATAAACATGTTTTAAAGACAAACTGAGAGGGGCAAAAAGCAGAAAACAAGCAATTTTTTTATAATATTTCTTTATTTAGTTTCATCAGATAAAAAAAAAAAACTTAACCCACACAAACATTTCTTTGCAAATAATTTCACATTCAATATAACTTGCTATATAACTTACTATTTGAACCAACACATTATGCAAAAAGTATTACAATCAACAATTTTACATTATTCAACAATATTCAATCTTACTTGATTACCAATTTATGATCCAACATCGCAGCAAAGCCAGCGTTCCTCACTGTAAAAGGAAGAAGAAAACTTTAACATTTTATAGATGTAGTGTATAATTGTGGTGGATTGATCACAAATGTTTGAAGATTACATAACCAAACTGAGAAGGGAATCCCAGCAGGCCTCAAACCACCTCAAATCTCTCTAGCAGACTTTACAGGAAAGGCAAGAGTCACAAAGACTCAACCTCGCTGAACAGCCTGCAATGACGGTTCTGTAATAAACCGCTGCTTTGAAATGGGTCCAAAACATGCTTAGCAAACTTACTTCCTGCAGCAGCTGAGAATCGCCATCTTGTGACCAATCCTTAGGAATGAATGTCCATCACAGAATTCAGGGAAATTGTATGCTGTAAGAGAAAGACAACTTCAGTGAATAACTTTACAAGCAAAGGTGAGACATTAAATCACATTCCTGAAGGAATGTTTATCTGGAGTTTCTATAACCACGCTGTATTTAGTAGACAACAGGGTCTCAAACCACTCCATGTCTATCTAGCAGACATAAAGGAAAGGACAGAGTCACAGGAGACTCAGCCTCGCTGAACAGCCTGCAGAAGTACAGCACAGCAACTCCCCAACTTACAACTACAAGCTTCAATCACAACAAAGAATCCGTCAAGAATCATTTTACACTTTAACGGTTTACATTATTTAACAATGTAGCATTTTCCACATTCCTAAGGCTAAGCAGGTGCTTTTTTTGTTTATGTGAGAGCATTTTTGTAACATTTCCTAAATCAAAATGATTAAAAGCAAATGAGGGAGAAATTGTTTGTGAAATTTAACAATTGTTTGCCAAGATGCTGAAAATAAACGCAAAAATAAACTGGACAACTTTCCAGAATGATGCATAAAGGTTATCAATCTAAGCCATAGATATGATTTAAAAGACGTTAATTCCTGATGCAAAAAAGAGCTAACAAAAAAAAAGGTTTAAATCGAATTATCGAATAGCCAATGTGGCCCACGTGGACGCTTGTGACCACGTGCATATATCGGAAAAACGTTTTAAAATCTACATATCATACAAAAATACGACTAAGTTACATTACACAGGTGAAGTAAAACAAGTTTACAATAATGACCTAAAACGGACAAACGATATGTTACAATAATGACGGAATTAAATGCATTCATGTATATATTGATGCATACAAAATTACCTTTAAAACATTGTACAACTACATACCATTGTAAACAAGACAGACAATAAACATAATGCTGAAACATTTAAATACTAATAATCAAATCTCACCTTTAAATACAGACTCAACGCCACAACTCCTGCTACCACAGCCGTTCCCCTGTGAAAGAACGAGCCGGAAATCACGTCATCAGAAAAGCGGCCTTTTCTTCTTCTGACATTTAATGGCTAGGGCTTTTGGCACGTCACTGCCACCATCTGAACATGACAGTAAAGTACAGAAAGCTTACAATATTTTGGTAAGTGAACATTCTACCCCGACATGACTGAAAATGTGGCTATACAGTACTGTAGCCTGGTATAACCATTTACTGAAATTGTTTGTTTTGACGCTGTAACTGTGTGCAAATCTGTTTCCTTTAAGTAGATAACAACAGCTGTGCTAGGTTTATTGGTTCCACAAACTTGCAAATGCTATTAAGACATTTTACTAACAACCAAATTATATTATTTGGTAATATGATAATTAATAGAATAATTTTATTAATCTGTCTTTATGACAAATTGGTCTGCAATACATATATATTTTAGCGTAATTGTTGGCTTGTAATAAATTCACATTTTTGAAATATTTTTTCACAGCATAGCTACTTGTAATAGGGTATACAATATATACAATACTATTAACAATTACCTGCAGATTCCAGTGAATTTTAATCATTTCAATATTTTGATCCTTTTATATTCAGAACTGTTCCTGGACCTGTGTAGCTGTCTGCTCATCTAATAAGGTGATGGAAAAATCCTGCTGTTTACTCATAAGAGGGCAGCATAGCACTAGTAATTATGCTGGCATCACACACAGAATAGCCTAAACTAAACTTTACTTGTTGAGCCATGCCAATACCTATCTACCTACCTACCCACATACCTTTCTGTCTGTCTGTTTGTCTGTGTGAAGAAGGTTCTATAAGCGTCTGTGTGTCTGTCTGTCTGTCTGTCTGTCTGTCTGTCTGAAGAAGGTCCCATAAGCGTCTGTCTGTCTGTCTGTCTGTCTGTCTGTTTGAAGAAGGTCCCATAAGCGTCTGTCTGTCTGTCTGTCTGAAGAAGGTCCCATAGGCGTCTGTCTGTCTCCCTGTCTGTCTGTCTTTTTGTCTGTCTGAAGAAGGTCCCATAAGCGTCTGTCTGTCTGTCTCTCTGTCTGTCTGTCTGTTTGTCTGTCTGAAGAAGGTCCCATAAGCGTCTGTCTGTCTGTCTGTCTGTTTGTCTGTCTGAGGAAGGTCCCATAAGCGTATGTCTGTCTGTCTGTCTGTCTGTTTGTCTGTCTGTCTGTCTGTCTGAAGAAGGTCCCATAAGCGTGTGGTCTTTCTGTCTGTCTGTCTGTCTGTCTGTCTGTCTGTCTGAAGAAGGTCCCATAAGCATCTGTCTGTCTGTCTGTCTACCTGTCTGTTTGTCTGTCTGAAGAAGGTATAATTTCTTTAAAAAAAAATATATATATATAAAAATATTATTTCTTGTTTGGTCTGAGATACCTTAAATCTTATCTCAGCCAGGCAGTGAAGATTGCTGTTTCTCAAAGAAATCAAATATAAAAAGCGGCGATTTTGTGTGGGATGTCAATTAACCGGAAGCCCTGGGGCTGGCTGACTGAAATTAAAATCCTGTGTGCATATACCACATTGAACAATTAAGATTTTACATTTAACATAATTCATACAAAAATACCATATAATATAAAAGTTCACATAATTTCTTTCAATCTACGATTGACTCTTCTCAAGAAATATCAGATTTTTATTTCATGTTTCAGAGAACAGTTGTGACATTTGCACCAACAGTTTAGTGAATATTAAGACAATGTGGCAATGTAATTAAGACTTTTTTTAAGTTTATTTCTTTATTCTTTGTCTTCTTCAGAATAGGATATGCAGTCAAGAGTTTTCAGCCATCTTCTGAGTATAGTCAGGAATGCAGTGTTAGCTGATCGATCCCCCAGCAAGGAACAAAGAAGGTAAAAGTTCCGGAAGATGCTTTTTTGTCTTTTACATATAAATTAACTAATGGAGCTAAGTAATACAGGCATTAGAGCCAGAATTCGTGCTTATCAAACTCTGTATTGCCAGTAGAGGACAAGGAGAAATCTTTGCCTTCTGTCTCTGCACTCACCGACTGTCACTGTTTGTCCACTCATTCTACAAGTGGTTATGCAAATGTGCCCTTCATCTGTTTGTGTGACAGCAACACAATGGCCCAGTGTGTTTGAAGCTGAAACACGAGGAAGGTTCAGGTTGACACATGGGTTTTGAATCAGACAACACAGACAGCCACACTGCAATAAGAACACACAGCACTGTGCCAAGACAGCTAAATTGGGACAACATACAACTGTGCCAAGAATCAGACATCAGAGTTGTGTCATGAAATCAAGCTCTTAAGCAGATGGAACAGCAAACTCCC